GGGTGGAAATTTGTTTCTTTGTTTCTTTGTTTTATACCCAAACATTGTATGTGGGTGGTTGGCAGGTGCTCTTTTGTGGTTTGCATCCTCTTTCCTATCAAACATCTATTGTCCTTATCTCCCCTCCTTCTTTTTGGTGTTTGTTACTCTCTTGTAACACCTCTAATCTTTGGCACTTTTATGACCTTATGCAGTTGCAAGTGCCGTAAAACTCTTACTAAAACAAAACATTGTATTGATTGTACTTTTCTTTTTCCGCTTTCAGGGAATGCAGCATAAGATCTCGGATACATGGAAGAACGCGTATGACACGGACTACCCCGCAATGGCTGATGATGGAGTAGACACCACCACCACCACCAACACCACCACCCCCTCCTCCCCTCCCATACACGGACCCAACGGGGTCACCAACGGCCCCAACAGTATAGTGAACGGCTTGCTGCGAAAGGCGGGAAGCTTCAGCGATGTCGTCTGCTCAGGAGGCGGCAGTTTGGAGCAGAAGATTCAGGAGCTCCGAGCCGAGAAGGAGGCCGGGGAGGTGAAGAAATGCCCCTCGTCTATGCCCAACGACCAGGACAGTCCTCTGGACTTCTCCGTGAAGCGAAGGTCTTCGTTTTCTGGAAGCCTCAGCGATGACTCGCAGGCTTCCTCCTCCAGCCCGGGTCACGTGACGGACTACAATGCCGTGTCCCCGCCCCCCGCGGTGGAACTGGGCGGCTCAGCCAATCACAACGGCGATCTCACGAGGAGAGCCACGCCCAGCCCGGGGAGCAAGCTAGACGAACAGAAGGTGATGGGGCTGGGCGGGATGAACATGCCGCCGGCCTCCCCCATGCCCCCGCTCATCAACGGCATGGGTTTTTTCCCCGGTCTACCTTCGAATCTTCTCGCCAACGGCTCCGCCATAAACGCTTTTTCGCAGATGGCGGCCGCGGCTGCTTTTATGGACCCAAGGGGCAAGAAGAACAACCGTCCTTTTAAAGCATATCCGAAAGAGGCGCTGCAGATGCCGCTTGGGTTTTTTGGCCTCCCCGGCTTGACGGCAGCGGCACTACAGCAAGGCACGGACTCCGGGGGAGGCAGGGGAGGCATGAACAGCGAGGAGATCATGAACATGTACAACCAGCAGCTACAGCTTCTCCGAGAGAAGCAGCTATCAGCTTCCGGCCACGTCACGGGGGCGGGTAAAACGTCCTCCCCTCCTTCTTCTCAGGTCCAGCCTCACCCTTCGGCCAATACGAATCACAACAGCCACAACAATAACAACAGCAACAACAGCGGCTCCAGCCCGCACCACTCTCATCAAGCTCAGCACCATCATCAACAGCATCAACACCATCTCCACCAACAACAGCATCATCATCAGACACAAGGCTCACAGCTCCACCCCCACCACCCCCACCACCACCACCACCACCACCATCAGGGCAATCGCCGTTTGTCCAGCTCGCCGACACACATCCCATCTCAGCACCAGCAAGGAGGGACAGGCGGTCTGAGCCCACCTTCTCCTCTTCCCCGAGACACTTCAGACCTCATGACGGCCGCCAGCAATAACAGCCACCACCATCACCCCCACCCCCACCTCAGCAGCAACAACAACAACAGCAGCCACAGCTCGTCGTCACCTCCTTTCCCTACCCCCACCACGCCGCTCCCCCCACCCTCGTCATCCACCTCCCCCTCCGCATCCATGAACACAACGCTAGTCTCCAGCACCTCCTCCTCCTCCTTCGCCTACAACAACTCGAGGAAGCGTCCCCGCTCTCTCCCCGACGACCAGAAGGACGCGGCGTACTGGGAGCGCCGGCGGAAGAACAACGACGCCGCCAAGCGGTCCCGCGACGCCCGGCGTGCCAAGGAGGACGAGATCGCGATACGCGCGGCCCTGCTGGAGCAGGAGAACATCAAGCTGCGCGTGGAGGTCGCGGCGCTCAAGACGGAGACGGCCCGCCTCAGGTGTCTGCTCTACAACAGTTAGGACGACAGCATCTTCAACAGCAACAGCCGCAACAACAACAACAACGCGAACCACAACAACAACAATTGCAACAACCGCAACAACAACTGCAACAACTGCAACAATATTAAGAACAACAAGAACTACTACGGCCATCTTCAAAATGACCAAATGTGTTGAACTGGGCGTTCAACTCGCACTCAAACTTACAAAGGCATAATCTCTACTTTGTCCTTGCTGCTCACATCAGCAGTGTTTTTCGTTAGCTTTGGTTGTTACTTTCTCGGATGTTGTCCGGAATGTCCCCAAAATGTTAGATGTTTCACTCATCATTGTCTTTTGCACAATGGCATGCCCTGTGTGCACACTGTCTACTCTTCTGTAGGGGGTAAAACCTAAGAAGTTCTAGACGTCTCCGTCAATCTTGTTGTCACCCTAAGCTAACGTTGTTCTTGAAACATGATACTGTGTGGTTGCATTTTTTAATTATTTTTTTTTGGTTGTTGCCTTTTCTTCTTTTTTTTCAACAAACTTTTTGGGTGATCATGTCGTTAAGCGTAGATGGTCAGATGAGAGAGGGATGGTTACTTCTTACTGTTCTTACGACGACTCTGATAGTGGTGTTGTGTTTTGCTGTCAAGGCGGAGAATTGACCTTTTACAAGTTGAGCTTTGGTTTGTCTGTTCCTGCACTTTTCTGATCAAGCCTCATCAAGACTTTCGTTGTCTGCGGCGGGCTCTTAATTAAGACGAGCCCTGTCACTAACAAAGAAACGCCAGTGTGGGAAGACTTAAAGTTTGTCATGACGATTGCACTAATGCATTGTTCGATATGTTGTTTGAGACTCCTGTTCACGTTATTCTCAACAGTTTATATATATATCTTATTGTCTATGCTGCAATTCTCAGGGAAATGATAATTATTGAAGATATGTCTTTTT